CGTCCGGGTTACTTTGTCATTATGATAAAGGTAGTGATATGGAAAACTTATTCTTCTTATATAAAAAGCAGTCACTTTGTGGGTAGGCTAATGGAGTAAAGTGAGCACTGCGGAGTGAAGTGAGTAATATGAAGTGAGGTGGATGATTCAAATTGTGATCTCTACTGTACTGTAATGGCAGTACTTCGACACTGGTATATATATAGAACTATAGATATAGATAAGTATAGATAGATGTAGATATAGAGCTAGATATGAATATTACATATCCGCTCAGTCCTTCCTTTTGAGTTTAGTTTTTTACTAGAGGGTTTTCTGTAGAATTCCTTGAATAATTGCCTTTTCTGAATTTTCTATAGACAAAGGCGTCAAAGGGTTTCGGGGTATCTGCAATATTTTTGCTATTATATTTGAAATACGTGGGCAGAGGTGATGAGTGGCGCACTATCTCACGCTTAGTCTGTGAATCGAATCCCGGATTGATACCATCCTAGACCAATCAAGTCCTCCATTCGTTTCGGGTCGGTTAATTGAAAACAGACTCGTCTGGGATGATAAAAGCACTGATTTGTTCATTGGCTGCCCACCACAAGTCATTGTACAGGCCACATACGCATTCAATCCGACACTACGATTCTGAATTAAATTGGAATGCGACTGCGCATCCCAAAGCGGGACTGAATAACGTCAGAATTTACCCTTTGTTCGCTTGGTATCATTCTACATCTGGGAGAATTTACTCACGATAAAGTATAAAGTTTTGGGCGTGAGTCAATCCCGTCTGAAGAATGCGCCATCGCATCGACTTCCTCAGAATCGTAGTGGTGTACTGAATGCGTATGTGGCCTATACAAGGACTTGCGGTGGCCAGCCGATGTACAAATCAGTGTTTTTATCCTCCCAGATGAGTCTGATTCTGATTTTTCCTCGGAGGGATGGAAGACTTGGTTGGCATAGGCGTATATCGATCCGGGATGAATCCGTGACCATGCGTGTGGAATCGTGCTCCTTTTGCCACTTCATCGTCTCCGCTCGTATTACTTATGATCCATCATATGGTAGAACAACTTTGGATTAGGGTGGCTACTGTTTTTGCTCCGGTAAAGGAAATCGGTTAAATTTGGTCGTCACATCACAGGGTCTCTTGAAAAAAAGTTTTCCAATGATCTGCTAGGACGAAAGGAAAGGTGCATAGTATCTGTCCTGTTTTGAGTCTCGTGTTTTGAAAAATAGAGTAAACCTACACTCCTACCCTAAAGGCTATCAAAGGAGAGCATATTTCGTTGTAATATTGGGGATGCGGTTGTCAATCCAATTAGATGTACGCTGACATGATTGTTCAGCTTGAAAATCATTTCTTACGAGAACGTAAACCTTTTTCATCTATAAATCTATTTTTATAATTATTTCTATGTGGAGAAATTTTTTAAATTTTCTAAAAACTATATCTGTGACACAGTTACCACTCGTAGTCCAAGGAACCATGGAGAACCTCCCTTTTTTTGATAAAAACTCATTTATACGATCAATATCTTTCCACGATATGGAGCAGAACTGTTAGTTGTGCTGCCGAAAACCAGATGTGACGATATAAAATTTTGCTGCGTGCTTCTACAAAAACAATCGCTTGACTCCATTCCTCTGTCAAACGGGATGGCTGTAAGGGTGGAGAACTGGTTGGGAATCGAGTAATGTTTTCTGGGCGTCATTGCTTTTCATCAATCGAAAACAATTTCTTAGAGAGGCTTTTAGAGGACACAGAATTTCTCTTTCAATTTTCCGAAATCATCTCGTTCCCGTGTGTCCTCTCCTCTTTTCGTCTCTTCCTAGCCTCAGCCCCCTCACCAGATTTGTTCTGCTCCTCGACATGTAGACGTTCTAGCTCAGTTGAAGTTGAAATGAATCTTGAGAGAATTAATGGTATGTCTGATGTTTTGATAGTTGCAATTGAAACAATTTCAATAACAATGAATATTTCGCAGGAACCAATTCATCCCGAGTCGAATTCTGAGTTTGGGAATCAAAACCTTCTTAAGAAGTGAAAGTTTACTTCAAAAAGCTATTTCTAGTCGAGCTCTAATCCAACTTTACTCTCCGGTTTTTTCTTTTTTACCCAACTTCAACCGACTTTCAATTCAAGCCTTGCTGAAACTCTCCACTACAATTTTTCCAAATTCATTCTTAGTTTGGGCTTTGTTTAAACCATAGGCTACAAGTTTTTCTTTTTTTTTCTTTGAGTTGACTTATTTTTAGCTGAAGCTCTGTTCGAATCTTCTCCCAATTTTTCTCTTTTTTCACCACGTTCTGATTAATTTATACGTGAAGCCTTTCTAAATCCTCCCTTCGGGATTTTCTTCTTAGCTCCAATTCATTTCTAAAACCAGGGCCGTGCTCCAATTTTTTACTACCTTTTTTTGTAAATGTTCATAAAGCCTCCAATTTATGTGAAGGTATGATAACAGCAAGGATTAGCGCTTGCTACGTGGTATTCGCTGTTCCATATATATTTTTGCAATTTCTGTACTAGCGTAATAAGTTATAGGAAATGAACACTTGGCAATTAGATTACTACCTAGAAACCTATTTAATTTTCAGTTTTTTTTTNTTTTTTTTTCTCTTCGATATAATCTTTTGTTTCCTAGAGGCAAAACTCTATTGTAATGACGAGTTTCAGTAGATGCATTGAAAAATTCTGTAATTTACCGTAGTTCATGCGACATAATATATTTTTCAGTAAAACTCCCTCGCTTTTGCCAATATGACTGCTGACGATCGGCGGCCACGAACGGGTAAGCAGGAAGCGGTACGAGTGATCGTTCGATGTCGTCCGCTTTCCGAAGTCGAAATCAGCCAAGGGCATCAAAGGTTGAATATCTCTACTTTACTGGTCTCTTATTCAGGGTTATTGAAGTTACTTTTCATGATTCTAGCATCGTTTCCATGTATCCCGAGCGTGGTCTTGTGGAGTTACGGAATCCCAAAGATTTGCAGGAACCATCCAAGGACTTCACCTTTGATGCCATCTACAACGAAAGGTATAACGGAATACAAAGCAGTAATGAACATCCAAATGTCAACATTTTTTGTGTGGGACACCCTCTCGTTTTTATAGAGAAATGTACTTGTGTTTGAGTGCGGGTATCACCCATAGCTAGTGATACCTTCTCTACGCAAAAGTCAGGCTGGGGATCTCACATGAAATGTGCTGCTAACTAGACCACCCTTGCTACCGACTGGAGACGTCAATTGGTGCGATCTCTTCTAATAACCATTTGAGCGATAACGACACCCTTTCTCTTGCCGACCTGTACATAATCAAGTTTGCATGGGAAAATCACGATTTCTCCAAAAGCCCCACCCTATGGCCAGGGTCTACTAACTTTTGAACTCTGCATGTACTCAACTTATGGGCGTCTTTCCTTTGCCCACATTGCCTCTGAGAGAGTATTCAAAGAATCTGTGAGCTGTATTATCGGGAAAACGAGCTACCCATTAGTTAGTTTCGTATGCATCACATCGAGGTTTCCTTGAGTCGTTGCTCAAAGGCCTGATCACAACACGCATACCTTTCAATGAGAGCGGATGAGGGAGGGAGTTAGGCAGGGGGCAGTGTGTGGGTTGGAGGTGGTGGGAGATGAGGATCGGAGACGCTCCTGGTCTATACCCCCTCAATAGGCTGTTTTTAGAATATACCAACCAATTACTGTTACGCTACTATTGACTCCTCTTAAAATGTGATTGTCTGTGCCGCTTCTTCTGCAGCTGTCAAATGTTAATTATGAGATATGATGAGACATCAACCAAATCAATGGGTCCTTTCATTCCGAAGCAAATTTCAGTTCAAAACAACTCGATTTATACGACGAAACGTTTCGGGACCTAGTCGATTCAGTGTTGAACGGGTTTAATGGCACCATATTTGCATACGGTCAAACCGGTACAGGCAAGACATACACGATGGAGGGTAAGCCGATTGCTTCTTACTAATATTGAATAGCCGAGGTAATTAATGCATTTCAAGGCAAACCATCGATTCCTGAGGAACGAGGGGTTATTTTCAATTGTTTTGAACACATTTTTCAACACATCGCTCGATCTCGGAATCAGAAATACCTGGTCCGAGCTAGTTATTTGGAAATTTACCAGGTTGGCTATACCTTAATCCATCTACTTAATCAGATTGCGGCAGTTCCGCTTCGGACACCTTATTATTACCTATTTTCATTTCAGGAAGAGCTCCGGGACTTACTGAGTAAGGATGATCGTGTAAAATTAGAGCTGAAAGAGAAGCCTGATGTAGGTGTCTATGTAAAAGATCTTACGACATTTCTGACCAAGTCAGTAGAAGAAATAGAGCGTGTGATGGCTGTTGGTAATGCGAATCGATCAGTAGGGTAAGTAGTCTTCCCAGATTTGTCCATTACTATTCTTTCTTCTTGCCCAGAAGTCGGATTCTTGAATAAGTGACTGATTCCAGGCGAACAAACATGAATGAACACTCAAGTAGGTCGCACGCCATTTTTATCGTCACTGTGGAATGCTGTGAAACAGATCCAGAAGGAGAAAACCATATACGGTATGTACCTTGAGTGGTTATTTAAATGGTCCTCTGCACCTATCCCCTCGGTAATGGGTTTACCAATACGATCCTTACCCTTGTGATTGCGATCCTTTTCCTTGGGATCTCACCTCACAATCAGTTCTGTAACGCATGCAGAGAGCGTTTGAGGATTAAAGGGGGAAAGGACGGAACGGCGAACTGAATGGTTAAAGCTGAGGTTTTGCTGATGTTAGTGATTAGCACCTATGGTCATTCCTGAATGGGATCACACTACCTTTTCGACAGTGATCCCTTACCTAAACTTTCAGCACTTTTTTCTTTGAATCGTTATAATATCAACAAGTAACATCCCATTCGTGTGAGGAAAAGCTGGTGATTTTGTCTTTAAGGCCCGGGCCGACTAATGAGGAAGAACTCAATCTGCTTGAAAGTCGATAAATGGTTTGGGCAGCTAAAGCCCTTGCTAATAGCCTGGTAGCCCCTTGTTATATGAATACGATCTCTTTTCAAAATCAATCGTTTCAGGGAGGGGACCGCTAGTCCTTCGGGTGGAGTGTGGTATCACAAACCAACAATAAGAATTACCCTAAAATTCCATAGGTAAGAGCGGGTGAGCCTACCGGTGAAAAATNAATTGGAAAAAATCGAAATTGAATGCAGTCACCCCTCTAACTTGATGGATGGATAAATTAAACTCCGAAAAAGAAGTTAAGAAGAAGCGGTTCACCCGCTCTTATCTATGGAATTTTAGGGTAGTCACGGATAATTCTCTTCCTTTCCTCTCAGACACACACCTTGTTTGGAATTGAAATTTCTAGAAGTCTCATTCCTCTCTAGTAATCTTTTGCTCTGGAGCTTTGGGGATTCTTGCCCCTTATTTTGGATACGTGTTGACAGCACTAAAACTAAGCCACAACACTTTCACTACTAAGCATCGGTATATTGAGGCTATGGTGGAATGGGAGAAACAATTAGACCATACTTTCTAGCTTTTCTGAAGAACTGGGATTGCTCCTCTCAGATGACCATAAAGTACTGCCTTTTCAGTGTTGGCAGACTGAATCTCGTTGATTTGGCTGGAAGTGAAAGGCAAGCGAAAACTGGTGCCACTGGGGAGAGATTCAAAGTGAGAAGTTGATAGCTTCACTTGGTTTTCTGCACTGTGGCCGGAATTCTATGCATTTTAAATCTAGGAGGCGACAAAGATCAATCTATCATTGTCGGCACTCGGTAACGTTATCTCGGCTTTGGTTGATGGTAAAAGCACGCATATACCCTATCGAGATAGTAAATTAACCCGACTACTGCAAGGTTAGTTACTGTTACTTTTTAACATCTTTTTGAATTATTGATTTCGATTTTGCTTCGTTTACACAGTTTTATCCTCAAGGCATCATGGGGGTAGTAACGGATCGGGGTAGGAGCCGCACTAGTCGCTGCAGAATATACGAATCGTTCAGTTATGGCTTGCATGGAGCCTGATCAGCACGTACACATATTACTTTTTTTCCTTAATATGAATGTTTAAGACTCACTCGGTGGAAATTCGAAAACGGTAATGGTGGCATGTATAGGACCTGCTTCATACAATTTCGAAGAAACACTAGGTAAGGAAAAATGAAACTTCTGTGTGGTAAAGGGTTTTACGAAAAACGCGTCGGAAAAAAATGTGGACCTCCCAAAATCCTTTGCCTTCAGGTACCTTACGGTATGCGAACCGAGCGAAGAACATCAAGAACAAGCCAAAGATCAACGAGGATCCAAAGGATGCCATGTTGCGGGAGTTCCAGGTGTGTTACATGGTCGTTCCCGGGGAGCCTCCTTTTGAAATCCCGGGGATGTTGATTTTATTGCAACATTCACCCTTCCACTGATTCGATTAAAATCAAAACCAATTTCAGGACGAAATTATGCGCCTGCGAGCTATGCTGGAAAAGAGGTCGAGGCGGAAAGGTCGAGGGGGAGGTCTGTCTATCTGAAACTTGTCAACTCTTTTCTTGGTGTTTCTCCTTCCTTCTGAAATTTTTTCTCGGCATCCTAATCAGTCATTGTATATTAATACTTGTAAAACTTCAGAATATGACGAGTCCCGTGGTGAAGAGTATTTCGACGAGCAGCATCGGAAAATTGCTGCCGATCGCGAGCATGCTCTCAAGGATAAGACCCTCATTCAAGAGGTAAAATCCAGATAATTTTTGACGTTCCTCCTTCAACTTTGGCGTGGAATTCAGTAGAGTATCAATCCCATCTCATCCAATCTTCAATCTTGTTTTGTCTTAAGAACGATTGTTTGTTAATTCTATCCTAGATCAGTGCTCCATAGCCATCTATGACATTAGCTGCAAACTGCGATACTTTGTATTGGAAGATCTATATCAACTTCAGGAGCGTCGGCGGATCATCGCAGACCTGGAAGAGCGGCAACGGCAGCTGGAACGTGAGCAACAAGCCCAACGAGAAGTAGCTGAGACAATTGCCAAAATGGAAAGTAAACTTCTTGGTGGGACAGATCTGTTGGATCACACCAGGCAGCAAGAAGCTGAGCTTGAAAATCGACGGCGAGAGTTGGCTGAGCAAAAGGTGAGCCTTGCTCTGATTGCTCCCCAGAACGGGAAGTCTCTACGAAGGGAAAAATGTGAAAAGTGAAAAATTAGCGCACGTAAGAACGTTTGTAAATCGTGATTCCTCCTTCTTCAGAAACGCGAACGAGAAATTCTGCAGCAACTTGAACAGCAGGAGGACGACACAGCGGAAATTCATCAAACGTACTCCAGCTTACAGCAAGAAGTCGAGGCAAAGACAAGAAAGCTTAGGAAACTGCATTTAAAATTGCAAAAGGTAGAACTCGTTTATTCTTATTTCTTGAATTCCACGCTACCGCGGTTATCGATGAAAATATCACTCATTTGAAATTCATTTGGAACAACTGATTAGTAAAGGTATATTCGATAGTCTGGGCAAGCTAATGACTTCGTCTTCTCTCCGTTCCAGGATTTATGGATGGGTGTGTGACATTAGGTCAGAAAGCGAATTTTCCGAGCGTTTAACTATTTGCAACTCGCCGACACCCCTGATATGATATTTCTTTTCTGAAGACTGACACTAGATTTTTTCAAAATTTACCGTTTCTTTGAAGATATTTCAGTTGCAGCAGGAAACCCTTGTTGTTCCAACGCACAACACCGAGTTGTATTCAAGCCAAAACAGTTTATGTTCTTTATGTTCATGTTCACGACTTCATTGAAGGATACACTTCCCTTACATCTCGAGAGCTTGTCATTGCATCGAGAAGTTCTTCTGCTAGCCTAGAGGTCGGGAGGGTGTTAGTTGGGGGCTCCTTTCTCCTCTCTCTTCGCTTTCAAAGCTCCCTCATAAAGTGACGGTCCTAGTTTGCTGAATAACTTGTAGGTATAATCGAAGCTGGGATTTGTGTAGGTAGCCTGCTTCTCATACCTTTGCGCTGGGGCTTACTTATACACGTTTTTCCGTCGCAATCGCTTTTACTTTCCCAGGTTGGCGTGTTCGGTATAATCCTTTAAAGTATCCAGAAGATTCTGTCACCGAGTATCCCTCTCATTGCTGCTATGTCGCCTGACCTAAAATAATTATTAGCATCTACATAGAAACAATTAATATCACCTTTTTCCTGAATTATCCCTCGTAGTGAAGCGGTTCTTGTTCTCTTAGTTGTTTTCGTTGATAGTTGCTGTCGGGTGATGGTTTCTCTTGTTTTTGTCATTTCTGGAAGGACTGGTTCGATAGATAATGAGATTCCATTAATTTTCAGGCTCGAAGTGAACTGCACGACTCGGCTCTCCTGCATTCACAAGAGCGGCAAGATCTCGAAGCTTCTGTGACTGAGATCAATAAGGAGCTGAAATTGAAGTGAGCGATTTTTCCTACGGAGTTGTTCCGGAATCTTTGTAATTGGATTTCTTGCTGACCACTGGACTTCTCCTTTCTTCAGTTCACTAGGATTCCTCTGCCTGCCTCTAATCCTGTTCTGCTGTTTTGCCCTCTACTCAGTCTATCTACTACTTCTGAAGTGGTTGACTGTAAATAAATCACTGTAGTCATTAATCATTTTGCCTGGAGCTTATCACAAAGGAGTTACTGATTTTATCGCTCGTCCCCTTCTCTTCTATTATATTCACTCTACTTTTTTACATCTGTAACAGATGGACCTTGCTTAATCCCGCTTATCGAACAGAATCTTCCGTAAGAGAACCACCACCACAGATCCATTACTACTCGTTATACTTTCCGGGAAGTTCCGAGCAAGATGGAAATTCCTATGCAAATATATGGCTATGCGTACTTTTGCATCGGAAGCTTCACCTTTGTGTATAAAGTGGCTCTCAGAGCGGCCCATAATGGACTGCATGTGGCCGCTATAGCTATGAAGGACTTTCCATTAACACCGCTATTTACCTACCATTAACAAACGTTCCCTGCCATTCCACTGCCGTTCTCATTGCAAAAGAGACTTCTCCTTCAAGAATGGCTTTAGCAAAAGACTGTTACTTTTGAATTCTCTTCTGACTGGTCGATTTCAGAATCTTCCTCTTACTTATCGTCTCCTTGAAAAGCTCATAACTAGAAAAAATTTCTGAAAGACGCTGATTGTGTCCATCTCGAGCTGTGAAGGTCTTTCCTATTTATAGGAAATCAACAAAGAATCGCAGGGGTAAACAACCTCAAATTCTTTACTTTAGAGCTCCCAAAGAGCTGCTGGACCGCTCATCCTGTCCGCGTAGAGCGATAAGTTCAGCTGAGCTAGTGGAATCTACCTTTGATAGTTCCAAGTGAATTGCGGTGAGCAACACCTCCACCTACAGTTTACATTCCAATTCAAACCTGTTGAATGACGCTTAATTGGACTCAATCTGGTGGCAAACGAACTAAACCGAGGGAGTGCCTGCCCAGAGGGTGAGAAGCTGGTTCATGTTCCCTCGGCATGGGATTATGGTGTTTTCGTAAAGATTAACGATCTAGTTGCGGTGTAAACATCCATTTAATGACCTCAGCTGGCTTCCATGTAGCAAATAAGCTGCCGGCGAGTGATACTTGAGGGTTGCTCTGTACTACAACCTATCGTCCATACTACTTTCAAATTTAATCTCTAAAACAACGGCAAAACCTTTTATCGGTTCCCTGACCGTATGCTTTGCCAGTCCTGGTGGTTCAAAACCTATACTTCACACTCTTCGTTGACTGAAGTGCTTCTGGTTTACCATAGGCTCGGAATTTAGGTCCGATTCAAGTATGAATGCGTTCGCAAACAAAAACGTTCCCAACTTGTTTTCATTTTTGTAGAAACAAGCTATTCCGTTCCTGTTTTGCCATCAACATAGTTAATATGCAACCAGTTTGTGGTAATGGTATCATTTACAGCACCATTACCTCAAAGTGGGGCTGGCATAACTGGTTAGAAGCTGGATTCGAGGCAATAAGTTCGACTGCCTTTCATAGCTGTCGCTCAAACTTCAGTCATTTTGTGACATTTCTAAGCCATTCCTACGTATCTTCATTTCTTTTTCTCGACATTCTTGGCAGTTCATTTCATTCGCTTACCATTGAAGAAACAAAAAATGATTATGGGTCCAAGAAGTGACCCCTATTGCTATAGGTTAGGCATGTTTCTATTTCGCAGAGGTGAAGATCGGGAATTAAGCCAAGCAATCAGAGCAACTTATCAAAATCGAATCTGTTCCCACTTATCTTAGACTCTGTGCTTGGCGCGGATTCTCAGAAGAAGCGACAGAATTAGAGATGGTGGCCCCAGAAAACCGGTACATTCAGGGTCTGCAGTGGTTCCAGATCTGCCTACGTTCCGTTCCTTCGTCAATTCTTATAATCAGAACATGCCGGCCGTCAAATGTTTGTGGACAACTTGTGGCCATTAAAAGAAGTCACTAATGTTACTGGAACCAGATTCTCATTCATTCCAAGGAATACGTCTGGAAATCGATACCATTCTTTTTCAGCTCTACTTATGACTGAGCAGGGCTCATAAAATGGGCCGAGTTTGTTGGGCAGTAAGTTGTCAGACCCACAAGTTGGCAGGGACTTTCTTCTGGCTGGCCATCGTAATGACACAGCTCGTTCTTCGTAAACGAATCTAATTTTACCTTAGCAAATTTCGTGAAAAAAGTTTCTCCCCTCTCGGCAGTCTTCCTAAGTCATGGGTTCTCGTTAATTAGGCTTAATTCCTGGAATGCCTCCTCTGGGAAGCCGTGGCATCTTAGTGGCAAATCAGATATTACTCGAACGAGTTTTAAAGGAGGGAATACCTATCAAAATCCAGCCATTCTTAACAAATGATTTGGAAAAGTAGAGGGCTGGTCGCTTACTCAATCTCATTTCATGTTTGAGACTTTAAAGCTGGCCCAATGAACGATTTGCCGAGAATGTCAGTGGGTAAACGATGGAGGTGGAGAGAGAGGACTGGCAATAGGTGTTATCTCCTTCACAACTTGTTTGAGTAATACCTGGTTTGCCAACAATGTGCCATGGGTTCCTGTTTGCCTGGAAAGAAATGAAATTTTGCTCACTTGAATAGTTCCCCTGAGCCTCTGTGTTGACGCCCTTCGAATCTTTCACGTTTTGTTGTCGAATTGGCTGTTTCGGAACATGAAAGATGCTAACTCAGTCCGACACGATTCGTTTCGTCGTAAATCACGCCCAACGCCCATCTTTTCCTACTTCACCCGTGCTTGCCTTCGAGTCGCACCGCAAACGGCTCTAATCTTGTTTGCAAACTTTCTTCAACCACACGGGCCGAGGTTCTTACCCCTACTTTACTCTTCTTATTCTTTACAACCCGCGAATGTCGTACACTTGGCTGCGCCTACTATGAAAAGTCCAAAAAAGGTTCAGTTTGTAATACTATGTTTTCAGCGGGGCTTATCGATTTGGAGAAAAGTAATTTCAGCCATTGAAATGTCGAAAATTCCTTTTTCGGGTCCAATTTCACCCAAGAACAAGAGCGGCTCTGAAGCTTTCAAAAAAGATCTGTAGAGTTGGCCTTTCAAATGATAATGAAGTGGCTTTGAAAGGGTTTGAAAGCTTTTTGAATTTCCCTCGTACATTTCAATCCTGCTTTGGATAGTCGTGAAGGTAGATTGAGGAAATCACGAGTTAGTTCCGAACAGATTTTGGAAGGTAACTGAGACATCCGAGTGTTTGAACACCTCAGTGACTACCTATAGCATTTTGAAGCTCTCCAAGAGTTTGTTCCTTAGTATTTGTAGATTCCCCAGGATTGCTATCTGCTTGTTGGTTCTCAGTCCAGATACCGTATCTCCGCTGTCATTAGTTTCCTTGAAGAATAGAAACATTTCCTCCCATCTTCGGCAGCATGGTAATTAACTGTAAATTTACATTAAAGCATTCAATTACCTTCACATTCTAAATGCTAATCGAATGCCTAGCGTGATTCGGGGAAAAATCTGCGCATACCTTCAAATCTCCTATTTCTCATGGATTTTGCCCATTAGCTTTGATTGTTGTGGCAGCAGGCTTACCAACAACAAGCCATAAACATGTAATTGCCTTCTCATTGATCGAAAACTTCGCCACGAATTCACTTTTCGTTGTTAATAAAAAAGTTTGGCTAAATTGAATTCTTGGCAATTTTGTTCTATGAAGCAAAAATCCCCATCTGGCCTCTTTTTTGTGGGTCGTTTGCCTCGGTGAAGAGCCTGTGATTAAGTTTCTGAGCAAGTTTTGATGAGGAGAACCGAATACCGACTGGAACCAAAAGATATGACGGAAACAAGTCGATTCCCAAGGGGATTACATGGCTCAGACTAGTTCCTACTTTCATCTTTTTCCAGAATTCGACTGAGTCAATCTTTTTCGTTGCAATTTCTTTTCCTTATTACATGTATTGAATGTAGCACAAGTAATTCAAAATCGAATATTTAAACAATATAATATGTAAAACACGATATTTCAACTTAAAAAGGTAATTATTATATTTCAAATTGAGCTGAAGTTAGATTAAATGAAATCCGAAAATAATAGTGTACAGTACATTATATATATTTCCCAATTTAGGTAGGAGGTTCTCATGTCCGCTCAATTAGAATCGTAGAGTATTCGGTTACTTGGCGATCCGTCCGTCCTTGATGTGCCAGTGTTATCTGACAGATCTCCTCGACTGGCACACTTTCACATACATATCTCTTAGCCAGGGTCTATTCCTAGAGAAAATTACCTCCCAAATGCACTATAGTCACAATGCTGTACGTTTCAAACTTCTTCTCAAACTAAAAACCTCAGCAATCTATTTAAGAACAGGCTCTCGACATTGGATTGCTGGTAATTCATTGCGTAGAGTGGTTGCCCAGTGCAGCAATTAAGATTCCATTCTCTATCTCATCTTTTCCCTCAGTTTTGGGAATGTCATGGCTCTTCGGCTTAGGAATTCTTTTGGTCTTTTGGTTCGGCTACTCCTGTCCTCTAATCTTATGATTTACATAAATGAGCTTTTACAAGTGTGCTCAGTAAATCATACCGAACCCAGGAGGTCAAAAATTGAACTTTGAAAAAAAAAGTAAGCAAGCCAGTACGATCTATGCTTGAGAGTTATTAGAGACAGCCTAACGCATCGATCACAAAGTAAGTACCGCCTAGGTAAAGCAAAACAAAGGGTGGGGGGGGGGGGGGGGGGGGGAGGTGATCATATGGGAATGAGTGGTATTCAACACGGAGGGGCTATAGAGCAGAGTAGGTGTGGATTCTAGAGATCTTACCTCAGATATCACTAAAACTTTTCAATACTATTGGAATTATGAAAACCTTTTTATGGGGCGTTGAGAATGTTTTCCCTGTTAAGATAAACGAGCCCTCTTCCCCATGTTTTGACCCTCTACACGGGATTGGAAGAGAAATTTGTTTTGAAGCTTGTTGACGCCATTTCGTGCCTTCTGGTTCTGTTCTATTTTGTTAGACATCTGCTTGTTGTTGCTTTTTACCTTCCTGTTTTATCTTTCATCTATTCCACATGTGCATCGTCTTGTTATTGGATTTCAGGGGTAGAATTACCACAGAAATTTCTCTGTGCTGGTTTGAGGCGCTGGTCCAGGATCAGTCAATCGCTCTTCTTTTCCCCCTTCCCTTCTTTTCCTTATTTCCCTCTCTTTCTCTTCGTATTGGCCACTCCCTTCCATCATCGAAACGAATGAGCTAGTGGAGTTCTTTACAAATAAAAGGGTCACAGCTCCTTTCGCGTTTTTTAAATAACTAAAATGATAGAAAAATAGCTGCTCTCATTCTTCTAGGAAATTTTCGGGATGAAATGATAGTTCCGGGAGTATCTTTGCGAGCAAAAGTGGTTCCATCTAATTTGTCATAAAGTCGGAATTCCCGTCATGTGATTTCTTTTGGTATCGGCTTTGTCGAACAGATGTTTTCCATCTGCCAAGTTGCTATGGACTGAGTTTGGCTTGGTGACAAAGTAATCTTGGCAGGGTAAAAAACTTGGAACTTCAAGACAATCTAGCCGAAACTCGGTTTTACTTCGGGCTTTCATTTTCTCTTCTCCTCTTGGTCTCACCCTTTCGGCTACATTGATTGCTCGGTCCCGTAGTTCTCGGATTTCATCGTTTCTGGCATGCACATAGTTGACACCTCCTTGTTCGATTTTTGGCCTTTCTGGCGCTATCTCTTTCTGGGGATGAGCCCTTCTGTCTCTTTATTCCATTTCCTCCAACTTCGTAAAAACAGACAATTTTTTGAAACATTGGGTTTGTAACCTTCCAGTTAGATCAGAAAAGGCGTAAAAGGCATGGGATGTAGCTGAGCTGAGTGCGATAACATATTTGCTCCGAGCCTCCTTTGTCATCAATATTTTAGTCAATCTAGTTACTTATTTAGTTTTTAAACGACTTCAGCGAAGCGAACTGGCTTAAGAACCGGAGCACGAAAGCTTATTCAATCATTAATCTATTTATTAATCATTTATTAATTCCTTGAACGAGGAAAAAAAGTGGTGGTGGGGCTGAGGGTAAGTCTGAAATCGATACCTTGTCGAGCTTTTTTTCTTCCATGGAAGTTAACAGAATTTCGAGAGTTTAAGAGAAAAAGTCTCCCAGTATTTTTCTCTTTTCTTCACTGTGGGATCTACTTTTAATACATTTTTTGGTATGATTCTCGAAAATGATCATGTGTCTTATACTAAAATAACACAAGACAAATTTCGAATCAAAGCTATCAAAAGTAATAGCAAAAACTGATCTAGTAACTTTGAAAATCCAGCCTAAAATGGAGAGGAAATCTCCGAAGAAATTCTTGTGATTTTACGATAGTGCTGAATTATGCGTAGCTCCCTTTGAATCGAAATTTTCTGTACCGTTCATAGTGTATTTCCAGTTATATTCGACATCCATCTGAATTTGTCCATGTGTACATATATACACGGTAGTTGAAACTGTCCCCTGTAATAGAATACATACAACGGGTCCGATTACGTTCTCACAACTGAGCAAATAGCATATGTGCAGATGGAGAAGAATACGGTCAGAGTACGGTCGGCGAACTGACTAGTATTCAAGTGTCCTTTCCGGTTCAACACTCCCGCTAGCACGGTACAATTTCCCCACAGAGTACCTAATCTACTATGACCAGGAATTGCTCCACACTGTGATTTACTTCAGTAAACCTGATTTTCTTTTCCAAAAAGATCGTAGGAACTTCTAATACGGCTTCAAACCTGGCTGTCATTAAATCTAGGCGATTCATTGCTGTTTTGTGAGCTTCAAAATGCTTCCGCTGAAGGTGCTACCCTATACTGTACACCCCATTATATAGTGTTTTGCAGTCTGGGGTTGCTTTATGTTGTATAGTCTAGAATTCATTTTTTTTGTTCATATAACTTTAGAAAATTCTACTTCGATTCTAAATATGGCAACCGCTGAATCTGGGTATTTTAAGGAGGCTTGTTTAACTTTTTAGTGGCCTTGGTGGAGACGGGTAGCTAAATTTTCAACAAAAAAAGTGGGACTTCGAAGATGCGATCCTATCTCGAAAATCCACGAATCGACATTGTGCGATTTCAGGTTTTGAAGACCTACACAACTCACTCTGTTATTTTTGTGAATCTCCCAGATGTACCTGCTCAGGTGGGAGTCTTGTTTGGAGGTTCTCACGGTTATTCTCAGGTTGTCATTGTCCGCTAGTTCTTCCCCGTTCCATTTTTCAGTCGCACCAAATTATCGTGTCCAGTGCATTCACTTTTTTCAAGTCTGCTTTTCACCCGTAAGAATTCCTCTTGGAACTAGTTCAATGAGGAGGACCAGTTCCTGGTTTAATAGGAAATGTACAGAAGCCGGCAAACCACCGTCCGTCATATTCTATTCGCAGCCAGTCCACAGCTAAACTCGGTCCGAGCGGAAAAAGGTTCCGCTCGGACCGAGTTTAGCTGTGTACTGGCTGCGAAAAACGTTTTTGGGTGGGAAGTGTGAGTGATGAAAAATGCATAGTATATACATTGGCGACATTTTATGTTAATGTGCTTGCCTGGTGAAAGGGTACGAAATGTGGGAAAAGTAGTTACCCACTTGATGGTTGTTCTTCTTTGGTTGGCAGCTTTCTCACTACAGAGCTCCACCTGTGAAAGGAAGCCACCTGTCAGTCACGCGGAATGTCTTCGTGTGAGCTCACTGTTCCTCTGTAAAGTTGTTCACCCATCATCTACAGGCTAATTCCTTTCTTTCGTATGATGTACTTACTTTATTAGTTGAACAGGTATGAGCGGTAACAGATCGAAGCCTTAATCCGTACCTGCTCAGGCTAAGCGAGCCTTCCATCGTTCCGAGGTTGGCAAGTTGGACTTGGAACGCTTTGTATCCCAGAAAAAGGAGTCATCTGTGATAATGGCTTTTTTATCGATAGTTACCTACTTTAATGCTTGCTTATTTCGATTAAATTTCCTCTGAGAAGGGTTGCCTCGACAGAGAAAGTTCTGGTAGGACCTCCGTTAATTACTTCAAGGATACTCCTCGACGTTTCATTGTTCGCTGTCAAATCAAGCATCGGGTTGTTTGGATTCATTCCTAGTTTTTTTCGACATTCCGTCTTTCTTTACTTAGTTCGGCTTCGAGTGCATGAAAGATGAGACGGCCCAAACACTTCTGCCCTCTCATTTGTCATGTTTTGCATGAGCTCCATAATCTATAGCTCGTCTGGTAGGCTCGTGACATTTCCTTCTACCAAAAACATGCTTACGTTTGCATGGGATCATTTTTCCATGTGCGAAATCGGCTGTTTGCTCAACGCCGTTTTATCCGAAATGGCATTCTCCAAAGCCTCTCCGCTCTAAAATTGCTAGGCTCATTTATACGGTAATTCAGAGCCTTTCATTGTTTTTGACTACTCGTTGGACATCATTAAACTCTGTAAGTGCTCTATCCTTTGAAAATGTACTCTGTGTGTGATTAATAGCTTAGAGGGCCGATCGATGGGGAAAGAGTAGTGAAAGTTTCATCGATTGCGGACCATTTAAAGCCTTGGCCGCTTTTCTAGCTTGTAGAAGATATAGCTTCTGAGGCTGTTCTAGATCTCATAAAGGTAAAGTAGTACTTATGGATTGGCGAAGAGCACAGACCGTGTGGGGAAAAGTTCCTGGGCGGAACCCCCTTCTCGTCTCCCTCTCTCACATTTTTCATGTGTTCCTCTTTCTCCCATACTTATCATTCTTCTGCTTATACCTAGCTTCATTAGTGTCTTCTCCAATTTTCGTCCCGGATGCTCTTCGATCTTTGTCATTTTTCAAGTAGGGTCAGGCATGTAATATGCAGCAAGGACTTGGGAGGGTCATATGGTCATAGGGGAAGGGGTGAGGGGTTGTGTAGGATAACTTGGTATATAACTATTTCAAATGGTCGATTTTTTTGAGCTTTTGTGTTACTTCTCCCTCCTTCCTTTATCGGTGTCTTAGAGGAGGTAAGTTGGGTAGATGACTTGGGAATAATAAAAAACGGTCACGAAAATAAAAAATTCAAAATTGATGAAAATATTGGCCGCGATCCATTTTCTCATTTTCCGAATGTGTCCATTTTCTAGTGAATGGCATTCTGGAGTCTTACTGATGTGTCTGTTTTTTCGCAACTTACGCTAAGCCTCGACTATAAGCCTCCGTTGGATTAACGACAAACCTCTTTTTCAGGCTTTTGATAGTCGAGAATTTCGTTCCTCCGGAGGTTGCCAATCGAGTCCGTGAACGAGCTCAGTGGATTGACGACGAGCAGCAGTGGCGGTTACCGGGCGCTCGACCGTTGTCTGCCAGTCGCCCTCCAACAGCGCCGTTGGCCAATGTGGTTTTGGGTGAGCAAATTTTATCTTAGGAGCGTTTTACCGTAATTCTTGAGGTTTTTATCCAACTACTAAGCAAGTAGTCAAATAACTCACCCGAGTCTTTCACAACTGAATGGCTTCATAGAGCTTCCCACTTTGGCTTCCTCTCGCTATCGTCAGAGGCTGAAATACTGACTAAATTAATCAAAACAGTAGGAAAGGTGGGAATGGGGGGGGGGGGTGTAAACATTGCTCACATTTTAACCATTCCCTTTTGCTAGCACTTTGTAATTATTTCCTTTCACTTTTGCAATTAACTCAATTCAAAAAATAGATCTACCGAATTTTTTGAATTTTTTTGCACAGTTCTCTAGTGAGTCCAACTATTATGTAATTTACTTGAAGTAGATATAGTGCATTTCCCTTTTTCCCGAAAAGACGAAGTTTTCAAGGTGAATACTAGTATCTATTATACTTGCACAAAGATTCAAGTATCAGAGTTACTGAACCAGGAGCTGTCGACCAGGCATTCTCTTCTTAAGGTGCTATTTCCGGTATCATATTTGTCAGAATTTCCAAACCATCTACTTATGGAGAACATTCATCTCAACTCAACGTATGGATCAAACATTCCAACACAACTATCAATTCGATAGTAAGTTGGATACAGAGGCGTAGCCCGAAATATCCAAAACTATTTTGATCATCTGTTCACTATGGGAGATACGTTTTGGCAGTAATAGTAATGATCTGGAACAGGCTTTTGGGGACATGTTTTTCAAAAACCATCGATCTCTGTTCAATTGGACCGTTTTTTGCTATTAGGGAAGCCTAATATGAGACAATACAATTATATAAATATAATACTGGTTAAATAAAAACAAATTACATAAATGCAATGCTACATCGCCTACCTTCATGAGTGTTTGCTTCAGCAGATTGTGCTAACTAACCAATGATAGCGCACTAGTGCATTTAGTGAGTATTAAATAATCTAAATAAATTAAATCTAATAATAATCTAAATTGCCTTCTTATCACATTACGACACCATATTTCCGCTGTTTTCAGTTGATGGTCAAAATTTGTTAACCCACTCGACGGCTGATTCCGGTGTTTGTAGCACGGACGCGAGCACTTCAGTAGAACAAAGCGATTATTTGGATAAAAGACCGGTTTGTTGATAATATCCATTTGTTTATTGTTTATTTCTTCGGAAACAAGAAAAAGGATTTAGTAAAGTGACAAATGCTATATTTTGCTGTTCCGAAGCATTATAAATATCAAAATTGAAATCTACGAATAGTATGCAATGAGCGATCATCTACTAAAGCTGTTAACGCCCCTCTGATCCGATAATTGTGGTTTCGTTTCCATGGAATCGGGGATGTTCGGAATGTGGCTTATGTTATTTTTTAAACTATTTTTTCCATGTTTTTTTTTTCTCAAAATGGCTATTGCTGATGATCAGTCAACATGAAAGCATTCCAGCAACGTCGTTCGGTATATAAATTTTGTAGGAAAGCACACAACAGTAGTGCTGTAGCCCTGACTTTGTGTTTGTTCTTTTTTTCTTCTACTCTTACTAATTCTGTTTGATGGGGCTACAAACATGGGGTTGTCTGGGATCTTCAAAGAATAGCCGCTCCCATTTGATGTTCGATCGCCACTTATGTGTCTTTTTTTATTTTGCCAATATTCTCTTCGGGCTGAGGTGGTTTAGTGACAAGAGGTATCACATATGCATGGTCACGGGTTCAAAGCCCAGGTCTATACCCGTCCGGCCTTCCACCCCTCCAAAGTCGGCAAATCACTACCAGACTCGTCCGGGTGGACGAAAGCATTGACTTGATCATCGTATATTTACCGTATATTCACGTAGTCAATCCGCCTTCACGATTCTGAGTTAAAGTCGAATGCGGCACACATCCTTGAAAGGGATAGGTTCATTCTTCAAGGGGATAGATTCGTTCTTCATTCTTCCTTTATGATTTTTCTTATTAATTGCCTTTTGTTATTATTTTTCACGCATGGCTGGCAACTTATAGACGATACAGCCTTGGACGGGGCTCGAACCCGGTCTTGTGCTGTTCAGACACTGTGCTCTCATCCCTTTACCCCTATACCAGTTCAAAACTGATCGGTTCTACTATTGCAATGATATAATAGATGGTCTGATTGTTCCCAGAAATCTTTTCATCATGGTGGGGAATAATAGCAATTTCATCTAAAACGATGTCATTGTCCCCTATTCGCCTGCCTACTCGTTTTCAGTTGAGAGGCAACGATTCTTTAGAATCCATCTGTTACTGTCTCTTCAATCTATGTAATTTTCAAATAAGCAATCTAAGGCTACTGAACTTTTAAACGGGACAGAACAACTTGTTAGAAGATCCAACTTCATCACTACAGTATTATCAGAACTTGCGTACTTACATAAATTTCCAAATCCTATGCAAAATCAAGCGTTAACTTTGAATATGGCTGAAATAGGTGTTTTTAAGGTATCGTTGCCTGGTCTACGTCGGCCAATGTCCGCATTCGAGCGGATGATGGTCGATCGAGCCCGTGAGCAAATGAGCCGACAACGACGACTGCCTATAAATAGTAAGTCTCCTCTCAATATTGGCTCCAATTTTCGGGTGGTTTTCGGGTTGTTTTTATATCACTTTGGGCCGAACAGTAACAGAAAACGATGTGATTCCTTCAGAGGGGCAGCTCAGTATATTTTGTAAAGCAGCCGTGGGAGTAATGCTAAATCGTGAGCGTAATCATGAAAGTAACCGATGATGTAAGTAATACAATTCGCTCTTGCTCCACTCAGTAAATAATTAGCCGGTCGCTCATGAGCCACCGTATTAGCCTTCTTTAATTTCCAATACCATTGGTACCAACAAGCTGTTCTGTACGAAGTGTCA